GGATAACATCTGGCTGGTTCTGTGGTTGGTGGGGTTGTCGGTCTGGGACATCTGGGATCTGTAGATCCGGGATAACATCTTGGTGGTTGTGTTGCTGGAGGTAAATACGTTGCCGGGGGTCTTGTAGTTGTGGGCGGTGATGGCCTCGGACATCTTGGGTCCGTTGAACCTGGATAACATCTGACTGGTTCTGTGGTTGGTGGGGGGGTCGGTCTAGGACATCTGGGATCTGTAGATCCTGGGTAACAAACTGGAATTGTTGTTGGTCCAGGTGTTGTTTCTTGACATCTTTCTTCCGCACTTCCAGGGAAGCAATCTTTTGGTTTTGGTGATAGGCTTGTTGCTGGTGGCAAATAAGTAATTGGTTTTCTGGTAGTAGGCAGGTTACACCTGGTGTCTGTTGATCCTGGAAAACATGGTTTTTGTGTGGGCTGTGGCTCGCACTCTGGATTTTGGCTTCCAGGGTAGCATACTGGTGTAGTTTGTTTGCATCTTGGGTCTTCGCTTCCTGAATAGCAAATTGGTTTTGTAGCTGGTCTTTGAGTTGTAGGAAATTGAGTTGTGCTGAGTTTCATCGGTGTTTCCTTTTCGCCTTTGCACCGCCCCTCACATTCACCATAGCATATCTGTTAACATGAAATAACATACATATTGGTGAGTTTTTAATTTCTCATAGTGACGAATATGAAAATTACTGTCTTCAGTGTTGTAGTGCATTACATCGGACGTGATGATGAAGTTAGTAAGCTGCTGTGTATTTCGGTCGTTATGTACCAGGCTACATGGTGCTGCATCCCAAAATGTACCCATCTGTCTCCATATATCTTTATTTATAAAAGGTTACTTGGAATTGCTGACCACTTTATTGTGCCTCAGAAGTTGTGTACGAACATTTAATCCAGGCAAATGTGAAAGCATCGGAATTAGGTACATCCATATTTTGTATAATTTCTCCAGGTTTCAGCACAGTTAGTTTGGATAATGTGATGACTAAAATGTTTGAGACAGAAATTTTGAGAGTTTGTAGTGTGCTGCTGGATTTTGCACGTCAAATCGTAAGTCTTCATGAAATTTTGAATGAGTCTTACACAGTCTAAGAGTGAATTCCTTGCTCTTTGTAGATCTAGGAAAATAGATGCTCCCAATAATAGATTTACACCAATATAATATATTATTTATACAACATAATATTTAAATCTTTAATGTATACGTGATTAATCATATAACTTTTATTATATTTTCAACATTATAAAAAACATTTAGTGTTTAAATGTGCATCTACGAGGTCTGACACAAAAATACCGGGACTGATGCTTTAACTCTCGTATGCATTTTCTTCATAACCGGAATGAGAAGAAATGAACAACTATCAGTTGCAGGTCCAGAATATTTTTGGAAAGTACTCATGTTATCTAAGAACCAGAAATTATTTTCCCAGTTATTAATGTGTTCACCACGTGATGAAGTATTTTAAGTCAAAGAGTTCCTATGTTGTAATGAGATGTGTATTTTCTGGCATGTAGAATCATTTTATACTAAATAATTTTGAGAAAATCGTTGAAACTCTTGGATTCGACTTTATGGTTAGTTGGTCATATATTTGATCAGTATGAACAAGAAGTTTTTTGTATAACTTCTAGTATCGTGCCCTCGCTACCAAATTTCATGTAAGTTTCATCACCGGTTTTGGGGATGAAATGTGTTTAAATATCAACCTCTCTGTTACATTTTAATTATATTCACTCTATTCAAGGAAATCTTTGTGCATTAGTTAAATGTACAGGTCATAAAATGTTTGCTGTTGACGGAAGATAAATAAGTGTGGTAGTCATTAGTTGACATTTGCTCGTCCAGTGATCTTGTAATCTGATGTTTCGTACTGAAACCTCTGAATAACACTCACCTCGATATTACATGTAAGGTACACTTGCATCTTGTCTGGGAATTTGAAAGCAGTGATGTTGTTGTAAGCAATTATACTTGCTCCAGTTAACCCGGTCTCAGATGTTCTTCTCCAGTATCCAATTAATTTCGGTTTCCTGCTCAAATAGTAAAAACAGCCATGTTAAGTTTTTTTTTTTTTGTCTTCCAGAAGACGCATCATTGATTCACTCACTTTGTCAGACATCTTTTAAACCTGACCTTAATGGCTAATAATGAAATATCTCGTGCATAGGTAAAAGTGATTCACACTCTTTATTACGCAATCTCAGTGTCGCCTAACATGCATTATTTCTACAATATTTTTATTTTCCGTCTATACACAAACTTAAAATAATGTTGTTTAAAATTATCTAAAATTATAACATTCTCAGTAGACACTGCATCATGTTACATTTTTTGTATCGACGACATGTTTCAATGTGTATTACATCATCATCAGGTCTATCAATTTTTAATATATTTTAAAAACTGTAGTACATTTTGCGTTGCGTTTATTGATTATTTTAATTTGTTTAATTTTAAGTTTTTTGTTTCTTCCTTTTTGGTTTGGAGGTTGTACTTGGATGTTTTATATCTGTAAAATTAATTTTTCAAGTCGTGATTTTGGATAATTATAATTTTAGATAATTTTAAGTAACATTATTTTAAGTTTGTGTATAGACGGAAAATAAAAATATTGTATCAATAAAACACAAACATGACGCAATTAAGATATAAAAAGATATAAAATGCATTATTTCATATTTTATGTACAGCATATCAGGTCGTCAGACGTCAGTGTTTGTCCCGTGTTCACTGGTAGAAGACATTAAGGGAAAGTACGTAGTCGTGGAAAGTCTGCATTATTTTTATGAGGACATTTATATTAATTTCATTCCAAATCACATTTAAGTAATATCAGTGTTAAGTGTAAGTTTTAGTGTTTTCCAGCCTCTGACAAGTGCAGTAAGAAAAATAGCTCAGATATCGTTAGTGGAAAGAGAAGACATGACATCATTTTTATAGACCATAATATTCTATGTAATAACATGGATTATTCTTTATGATGTTCCAGTAAACTATTGTACGACCACTTGTTTGCATTGAGTATAATTTTGGCGTAGTACAGGTAGCATATATGATTGCTGATGATTAGGCTCACATTGAATTACCTACAGTTGACGTGTGTTGTGTAGCTGTCAGTAACTGACTTGCACATTCGTTCAGCATGGATTCAGCTAAGTTCCCAGCCGCCGCAAAGCTCAGTAATTACCAGAAAATATTGCACTAAAAATCTGCCAAATATCTTGAGTCATAAAACTTTTACTTGGTATCTTTTCTATTAAATTTTCCTACATATTCTGATTTGCGGGTGACCTTACTTGGGACATCCATCATTGTCTGTGAGCTGTAGCTTGCGTGTGTCCTGGGACTCGTAGTTTTCTCCGTCATACGCCCAGCAATCCCTGACCTGGATATCGTACTGGTTCTCATTGTCTTTGATGTACACCAGGACAGTCAGGGTCTCCCCTATTTTGATGATCTCGTTGATTGGAGCTGTCTGAAGTCAGTTCAACATTGCACTAATATTTTTAACAAAATATGAAGAAATCTCTACAGGACATTTTGAAATATGTACTGTTGATTGTAAGTAGGTTCATAACTTTGGGGATTTCAGAGTTTGCAACTTTTTATTTGTATTTAATGTTGATATTTTGTCAATACATGTGGAGGTTTCTCTTTAAGGCATAATAGGAATGTTGTATTGTCAGCTCTGTCACTCAAGTGCATTAAGAGACATTTTGTGCTTGAATTATGATAGATTGGTATGAACCAGCCACAATTTGAGCCACTGTCTAAAGCCGAACTGCAATAACATTTTGTGTGTTAGTAATGGAAAAGCAAACAGATGAGATACTGAACGAAGATTTTTCTTAACCTGTAATGTTTTCAGTGTTGTTCGAAATGGAAGTTGTCGGCAGACAAGTACATTTCCTCACGTATATTTATTTATTTATTCGTGGTTTATTTAATGACACTTGTCAGTAGCTCATATTATAGCTTATAGCATCACATAGGATAATTATTTAATAATAAAATCGGAAGCAGTTGTGTCCTAATTCAAGGTATGATCGTAGCGTTTATTCAGTGTGAAATAATAAGTTCTTTAAAATCTCACCTTGTATCTCTTTTAATTGTTTGTTCACACACACAAACAGGCATGACTCATTGATGTATGACATCCAAATTAATTCCTTATCAGTTTCTTTATGGATCATGCCCTCTGACCTGTTCAAATTCTGCTTGGTTATGGGAACAACATATAATTCCTGTACCAACATAGAGAAATGCTGATATTCGTGTTTTGAGTAGGATTTGAACCCACGCCGTCCCAGTGTTAAAGACACACAGACCGCACAGTCGCTGAGTTTGCTTGCGCTAATAATTGGATTCAGAATGAGTGCTGGTGTACCGGCTCCATAACATAATATGTGTGCACTCACATTGGGAAACTCTCCTCGTTGTATGTCCATCCAGCAGTCGACCGTGCCTGTAGACACAGGCACGGTTACCACCTCCAGCATGTCCACCACAAATGGCTGGAAGATGACAGTTTTCTCCTTCCGGTCTGTGGTCGCACATGATATCTTTCTTGCTGTATCCCAGATTTCCTAAACAATACTCACAGATGTTAACACTTTTTTTAAAGCATTGACAATTTAAATTTTTCTTTGTAGGTTAATCAGAAATTAATAATTCGCAGTTTTCCCCAGTTGATACTAACTGTAAAGTATTTTTAACATATAACTTGCAGTGCCAGAAAGTTAAACATTGATTATGTCAAAGGTCGTTCATTTTTGGATGCATCCACATCTTCATAGCCCATCATCTTAACGTTGGTGATCATTTCTTCATCTACACCAAGATCTCCCTAGATTCCTCTTACCTTCACAAGTTCTAACTAAAATGTGTACACATCTCATCCTTCGTGCTACATTTTTGCCCATCATATCCTTTTAATATTTGGTGAATTATACAAATTTTGAAGTTCATCATTCTTGTTTTCAGGTGATAGTTGTAACATCGTTATCGTTCAGTGGTACAAAGATCTTGAGTCAAGAAGTTGATAGATCGTTGTTAAATGACAGAGCCACCGACCTGGACGGTGTCATCAGTCTGGATGACGATGATGTTGTCCACCGTGCGACCGAAGCCACCGGACGGAGTTGTACCGCAGTCTTGTAGCGGGATCACGAAGTTGTACGAACTTGTCGTGCCGCCAGGCTGCACGTACCTGGAACGTAAACGACAGGTACTTGAAACGTCCTTCTGTCATCCCATGCAGCAGACCTCGCTAGTCACACAGGATCAGTGAGTCAGTAGTTAAGACAGTTTGTACAGGTTCATTGGCATAAGTAACTTATTCTTATTTGGTACCAAAACATCTGACTGTAGCTCTTTGGTATTCGGTACATTTTTCCTCGGGGGAACTCCAGAGGATGAATAAATAAGCAACATTTATTTCTGCAGTTTTAATCAAAAAAGTGTTAACACCCTTCAGTACATCAGAACTTAGCAATGTTTAATTAATATTTTTTGGAATTTGCAGGTGATTTTCAACTGATAACTATTTATCGTCATTTCATTTAAACATTATTTTGTGTTATTATTATTATTATTATTATTTATTATTGTTATCCTTTATACGTTGATTGTCCTTAGTTTCAAATGTTACCCAATGGTTTCTGAAACAGAACTTGGTCTCCTTGGTTGTATGCAGAAAATTGAGGCAGCATGTCTTGTAGAAACTTTGGTAATTACAAGTCCACACTCTGAATTCTGTGCTGTAAACGTAAATAATTGCTTTAACGGAGATGATAGTGTGAAGTGTTGGCTTTGCCGTGGTCTCTGCTGTACTGCTTTGGAGAGACCTTGACATTTAAGAAAGTACAACCACATCTCTTGTTCAGGAATGTGAAAGGGCTCGGAATATTATTAATGTTATAACTGGGAAAGCAGGTGGCATTGGTGTATCACCATTTGAGAAATTATGATTATGTAACGAGTGTTTGTACCTGTTCAAGCATGCAAGGTGTTGCTCCTTTGTGTGTGTAAGTAACTTTGAACCGTTTGATAGATTTTCATAAAACTTCGTAGCGGCAGGTTTATGCATTAAATGGTTGCCAAGTAACGAAAAAGTGATGAATGTTTATTACGATTGCCTAGCAACCAGACCAGAGACAGAGAAACGGAGAATGCTGCATGAAGTAATTTGACCGCGTTCGTTAGAATTAGACGCTTTGAATCTGAGAATCGGATTAAGATGTGGTATTCGTGAGATACGCAGCCTCTCTCATCTTCGAAGTGAACCATACAGACCGTAGACTGCACAGCATACGCAGGTCTGAAAGTGGGACAAGGATAGAGTTGGTCTCTTGCGGTTGTAAATAAATTCATCGTATTCGTAACTCCAAAGAACAGTTTGCTTGCCTAATACTTCTGCAAGCATTTAAAATACAGATGTTTCTTCATGAAATGTAATTTCGTCATTATAGACATATATTTTAGAATGATGTAGAATGTGGATATTCTCAAGGACACTGGACAGTGCGGTGCCAAAAGTTTACTGGTGATACTCGTTAGTGATTCCAGTGTGAGCCCCCCCACAAAGTAGTAAGATCACATTCGGCCGTATTTTTCGAGAATGTTGCTGTACATTCTCACACCCATCACAAAGAGAGGTGGAACCAGTCTCCACACCGTCGGTCGGGTTTTTATTCAGCCGTCAGAAATTCATATTACATGTCAGATTTATCTCCAAGCTTCTGATGGTCAAATTCTCTACGTCGTGTGGAAAGGTCAGTTTAAGTCTTGAAGTATTCTTCGCCCGCGTTAAAGATGTAAACATATGGAAATGACGTGACCTTAGCGCGACAACCCCCAGGTTTTCCAAGTATGCGAGTTATTTCTGTCTTGGAGACATAACAGTTACGAAGTCAGACCGAGTCGCGGGACTTCTAGCACAGGTGGTCGGCCTTGTAACTTTCCGGTGGAGAGACCACCAAGGCAAGCGACTAGTATGCCCATTAGGCCAGGAAAGGCTTCTTCTGGGCAACTCCTTTCCTACGTTGTCCTGTGACGAAAAACGTCTCATTAAAATTAGATTCGAGATATACGCAATTGTAATCTAAATCCTGAAGGTGAGAGACCATTTGGAAAATCCAAGCTTAAGTGGGAGATAATATTAAAATTGATCTTGAAGGAACTGTGGTCTCAGGTGTGAACCAGAAGCAAGACTGTAATCTTTTTAAGACTTTGGTGAAAAAATCCTGTTCATCTGTTGCGTTGTTAATTGCATTACGTGGAACTTGTGATATTTGTGTTTCATTAGCGTAAGTAGAACTCCGACCCGGTGCATGAGACAGGAATTTTTTACGGCGCTGAAATTGTAGATTGTGGTCTTGTGGGTTGCAAAGCTTGTAGTTGGTTACCATCATTTCGGAGGTCGTGTTATCATCATCCTCGGCTTACGACCACCGATTATTTTCGGATAAATTATCTTAATAGATTACTACATATTGTCCACGCTAAGAAGAAAATGAAGCTAGACTCTTTAGTATGTGTGTCAGCATTCCGAAATGTTCCTGTTCTCTTAACAACATATTTCTCCGTATTTCACCAGCTTTAAGGTGTCATTGGCTTTAGACCTTTAACTAGCGTTAAGTTAACGCCAAATGCAATGCAAATGTTCCGAGCAAACAGACGAAACGTCCCGACAAAGTGGGGTGACGGAATCTCGCATTTCGATAACACCGCGGTTCAATATCGTACGTGAAATGCTGCATTTCGATAACGCCGCGGTTCAATATCGTACGTGAAATGCCAACGATCCTCTGCGTTATTGCGTTTTTGAAACTTCCGCCTGCTTTATCTGCGCACCTGCGTTAATTTCGCATCGAAATAACGCGCTACTGCGTCTTATTGCCCAATAGCGCACGTTCTCCGACGTGGTAGTCATTATTTCCGCACCTTCTGTGTACAAGGCGAAACGAGGTCAGAGAGGACCGAGACTAAGAATGCGTGGAGCAAAACCTCTGTTCCCCCCATACTCCTTACTTAAGAGGAATAAATACTGACAGACCGTTGCTTGATTTTTAATTTTGTAGGCTGCTTTCAACCTGGGCCTGCCGTAAGCTTGCGCATTTATACAAAACTTCAGAACGTTATGTACGTGGTTCGGATATTCAAGGGTAAGTGATTTTTTTAAAATAATTTTAATATTCACATTTTATGCTTTTAAAAATTATAACGTGTTTCTTTGATTACTTCTTTGAGACAGGAGCGTTGTATAAGGACGGACATTTTCAATTTACGTAAATAATCTGTGTAATTATTTTCATGAAATTTTATAACTTGTTGCTTCTCATTCATCCGGCAGATCAGTGCGTGAATTGAATGAACTGTGCTGGTGGAAGGGAAGATATTTATCTTTGTGAAATCTAATCGCCATTACTGACCGTTCGAAGCGCGTCTGCCCTTTTAGAAACTTGAAATAATTAAGCATTTAGGCAGTTGTGGTGTCATGCGAGTTTAAAAATTTTGAGACTGTAGCAAAAACGTGTTTATATTTTTGGTTTTGTTCTTACCTTAATATGTGACCTCCTAATGGAGTTTGTACGTGACGCTTTAGAATTTATTATTTAGTTAAAATATGTAATTACATATCTTTTCATTATAACGAGGTTTTATATTTAACTCTCGTATAACTTACGAAAGGGTACGTATGCCCTTTGAACTTTATCAGATATCTGCGGTATTTTAACGACTCGGCAGAAACAGCAGCTTCATTTCCTGGTAGTTATGCAACTGTTACTACTTGTACGATGGACGACATACTCAGTGTAAACTCTTGAGTACGCCACAGTTAATAAGTGACTTAAGTTTCTTTTAGTTAAAAATTATACTCGTTAAGAAATGTAAATTTAAATGTGGGAGGCGGAACCAGTGACCCGCAGCAAATTGTATGCCGTGCTGGTGTTTACATTTTTAATACGTGGTTGATACCCGAAATGCAGACATTCTGCTGCCAGTCTTTTTGATTGTGTCCGCATCGATTTTAGCTTGAGGGAAACGTTTCTTTTAGACTTCCGCCAATTAAGCCACTCTTACGGGTTGTTTGCGCCGTGTAGTCTAATAGAAGCCGCGCACGGCTTTCTCATCGCCCTGATGATGGAGGCATGAAGCACGACTGAAACGCCGTTAAACTTATAGCAGACTACACGGCGCAACAAACCAGAAGACAGCCATCTTCATACTCGCCGCCATGAGAATAAGAACTCTTACATAATAAGGAACTTCTTAATTTTCACCTTTTACTAAATATCACGTTGTTCAAATGGAGGATGAGATGAGTGACGTATGTAGCACGCATGGGCAGATGATAAATGCAAAATTACGATTTACTTTGGAAACATTGAAGGGGTGGGGACCACTTGCGAAACCTAGGCGTATAAAGCGGAGGATAATATTAAAGTGACCCATAAAGAATGAAGGTATACGGACGGGATACATGTCGATCAGGGTTAATGTCGAGTGATGGGCTCCAGTGAACCCCGGTAATGAACCTTCGGATTCCATAAGAGGCGAGAAATTTCTTGAGTAACTGAGCGACCGTGTGTTACCTGCATTTCGGGTTATCGAAGTGCCCCTTGCTGTAGACAGTCCCGCTGAACGGCCCGTCGAAGTCGATCACGACGGAGATTCCCTTGCTGTCGCATTTGACGTCGAGCCGTGAGATGTGTGTGTGGTGTTCGTGGTGTTGGTGGTGCAAGGGTGCCAGGGCGTTGATAGCGGCACTATCAGCGTCTATGTCGTCCCTCGTCGCCTGCTGGGCTGCAGCCAGCTGCGTAGTTCAAGATGGGAATAAGTGACATGGACACATGACGCGGAATGCTCTAGAACCCGTCAGTATTTGCCTTTTAGTTGCTCAGTTCAAACCGTGAACAAAGGTAACTTAAAGCCATAAATTGTCTTACATTCAGTTACATCCTCATCGAGTTTAAGATACCTTTTACATAGAAACTGTAGATCTTACTGAGATCTCTAATTTCATGGCGAGTTTTCAGGTTCTGCGTACTGGATCGGTTTGACCCCCCTATTTTTAAGTAATAGCTTCGTTTAAGGCTATGGTATGTTACAAAACTAGTGCTCATTGGGCCTGCGTTTTAATCACCGTCTTCTTAGATCAGCGCTTTTCAAACTTATGTCTTTAAAAATGGAATTCAAATATTAATTATCGTGTTCACAAGAGCCCGCGTCTGGGCCCTATCCTGAGCAAACTGGATTTAACACACACCCTCACTGCTACGAATGCAAGAACTTTGTTGTGAAAATGGACGTCGTATCACCATATAATAGTTTTACTTTTCAGTAAAGTTTCCAACATCTTAAGTCAGCATCTCTCTGAATGTTGAGCTCTTTGGTTAGTGTAATTAGGAATTGTAGGGTGGTAGACCTGAATGTGTTCCGCGCTGTACTCGCAGTATACAAAAGTTTTACTTAGGGATATTTCATATTCAACGTAAGAAATCAAGGATGCACACAGCATACTTATTGTCGAAGTTCGCTGACTATGAATGAAACACGCTAACGTTTGACACCTTCGCCGCGCCCTCGAGGGTTTGCACCAGAACACTTGACTGATTATAGTGATATTGAGCACTCTTAAGTTATGGATTGGGAGCGTTTATAATGACCTAATGGCAAATGGAAACACCTGTTCTTGCATTTCCAACACGGCGTGAGTAGTCGGCGCTGTACCGTCCTAAATCGTTTTGAAAGTTTGACCTTTGACTTCCTTTTGTGAGCATGAGATTAACTCGTCATATCATTGACTAGAAGTTTCAGAACCCAGCAGGCGTGACCTTGCCGTATGTATGAGAATATTTCACAATTCAAATGTGTGGTGACAACGCTGACAGAACATAAACCAGGTTCATGATGAGACAGGAGAAGAATATATTTTGAAAATTAATTTCAAGTCCATCTGGTATACGAAATGTCGGTAAGAAAAATAATTTTGCAACCTGTTTCTTATGAATTGAAAATGATCCTTCTTTATTCGAGGCAAGAACATAGAATGAAGATGACTGTCTTTTGGGTTGTAACTCCTTGTAGTCTGCTAGAATATTACTAACGTTTTAGGAGGTACTTGCTGCCTCCGTCGTCAGGGCAGTGAGTAAACTCAACCGACAACTTTGCCGTTCGACATCGACCTGATGATGGATCAGCAATCACGTCTGAAACGTCGGTAAACTTCTACCAGAATACACTCGCTACAACCCAGAAGACAACCTCCTTCTCATTGGATAACTGTAAAAGAGTATTACGAGAGATTGTGTTAATGCGGTTGTTTCAAATCAAGCTGAATCACGCCCAGAAGGTTGTCGGATCGTTTCTCGCTGTGTGTATCGGCGCATGTATCTGTCACGTGTCCACACTCGTGCTGCTTTTTAAATGCCAGATCCTGTTTTGCGCATTATACCATATTGAGTGAAGTACTGACATCTGAAAACTTTCTACTGGCGTATTCTTATCCGCCACAAGAACGATCCGTTACTGAAAAGTAGATGAGCGTCGTTTAACAAGTGTACGATTGTAGGTTGTCGATTAACCATGATCACTGCTTGTAATTCCCACGACAAATACCAATTAATTTCAATTTCACATCCGTCTGATTTTAATTAAAGCGGCCGGGGCCTGAAGCTAATCACTCACCCCCGCCTAGTGCCGAGGTCAAATATACATGGAGCGGTACATCCACTCATTCATACGTCTTCATGACTTGGTGCGTAATTAAACTTAGGGACAAATTTACGTGTACAGAAATAGTCACTGGGGCCAATGGAGTTTCTGCCGGACGAAGTTCAATCATTGACTGATGGGTCAAGCAGAGAATTTCGGCGGGGGAAGCTAGTAGAAGGGGGTGGGGGGTCGTATTAAGATGGATTTTAAATTAAATTGGGTGTGGATTGGATTCATCTGGCTCACAGGTTCAGCGCATTAGCGGGCTGTTGTGACCGCAACAACGGGTCTTCTATTTCCTTACAAGACGATGAATTTCGTAACTAGCCAAGCGACCATTGGACCATCAGCAGATGCAAGCTTCCAGTTTCTTATTCTTCTTCCCCATCGTGTAATCTGTTACGTCGGCCTGTGTGTTCTGATATACTAGTCTGTAATACCAGCTGTTGACATGGGTTGGGGTTTGGCGTGAGAAGCGCGTGTTTGTGCGGGCAACTGCTGAGCACTGTACGGCAAAGGTCAGCCAGGAAAGTTGATTTCCTGATTGTTCCGTAACCCATGTTCCTGATGAAGAGATGTGAAACTGGCGGCATGAAGAAGTGAGGCATTGCGTAATGAAGCGAGCTGGACTCTCTTCAGTCCAAAGCCTCAAGAAGAACGCATGTCATTTCGCTGTCCTTCACCTGGTCTTTTAACCGATCTCTGTCGACGAGGGTAAGATCATCAGGGGTCCGCGGGCCACAAGACTTATCACACACACTGAAGTAGGAACACTTTTTTCGAGTCGAAAGTTTGGCAGTTTAGCTTCTGTTACTCTTTATTTCATAAAAGTTTCGCTTAATCAGAAGAAATTTTTTTTAAAGTAATTTTATATGCAAGATAAATTATTCCATAGACATATCGGTATAATTATACGTACGCATTTTACGTGTACATTGTGGGGGGGGGGGGGGGTGAGTTGAAAGACGGAATGCGAAGGTTTCAAAATGTAATAATATGTATAAAATGTAGAGATGGACGCAACTTGGTAGGAGGTTAAAGACTTTCAGGTAAATTTATTCATATTGGTCCTTCACATCTACTTTGCGTATGGCGGAAATTATTTTAAACACATTTCGTAAAGGAACGGGCAGTAACTTCTTTTTCGAACCTGAAAATTAAAGTATACAAAACAAAAATTTTGCCTGTTGTTTTGTATGGGTGCGAAACATGGTCTCTCACTCAGAGGGAGGAACACAGATTGCAGGTGTTTAGTGTGCACCGGGTATTGGTTGGGAAGCCTGAGGGCAAGAGACCGTTAGGGAGACCTAGACGTAGATGGGAGGATAATCTCAGGTGGCATCTATGAGAGATAGGAGTTGAAGGAAACTGGATTTTGTTGGTCCAGGACAGGGTCCGGTGGAGGGCTTTGGTTAATTCGGTGATGAACTTTCGGGTTCGGTAAGCCATCTAGTTAGTAACCGGATGTACCAGCTAACAGGACAATTCCCCGAAGATGGCTGTCTTCTGGGTTGTTGCGACGTGTAGTCTGGTAGAAGTTTACCGACGTTTCAGAGGTCCTTACTGCCTCCATCATCAGGGCGATAATACCATCTTCAAACTCACCGCCGTGAAAACCTCAAATCCTACAGGATAATTCCTCCTCTTCAGTGGAAATGAGTCACACCAAATGTGCATTTAACTCTATCTTCAAATTTTACTTGTTATTATTTTGAGATGACTTATGTTTGACGAATCTTGAATTTTTCGAAACTTGACTTTCTCTGCCCTGGCTCTAAAATTCCAAGTTTCTTTCCTGGACTGAGAGGTAAACCTCTTTCCTCCTCAGTCCCATTTTATTGAGGACGCGGACGGGCGCGGGGAGGGATGTACCAGTGGCGTTGATATTTCTTTGCGCCTTGTAATTTCATCTGTCGGACTGCCTCCGTAATTATCCAAGACGTTTATATATGGCAACACACGTGATCAATTACGGGCTCCATCTTAGTTTCTAAACCTATTTCGTGGTTCCCAAATTCAACAGATGTTTCCGGGATTTGTTAATTACGGTCCCAGTCCGTAAACAGTCACAGTCAAACGTAAAGTGGAACGTACTGAGGAAAAGTGTGTCGTTACTGTACGGGTAAAATTAGGCCTAAAGTACCTGCTCGGTTCAACTGTGCATTTTTGAAACCGCAAAGTCTATTATATTGAGTCTATTTTCAATTGTGAATGAAGAATGTATGGCATCCATCTTTGGAACCTCCTCTGTACTTAGGCAGGAACTTGATAGCCTTTACGTGGGCGTGATCACAGACCTTACTAAACTCCCAGTAGAAGCTAATAGTCGCTCACTTTGTCAAGAAAATTTATGCGGTGATGAAGATGTCGACGTTTATAACGCCGCGTGGACTCGTAGGTCGATACAAACGTTTCGGTAGAACATAATGCTTCCATCTTCAGAGCTAAAACGACTGTTCATTTGAAGGCTTAATATCCGAAGCTGCTGGACAATTTACGGTGAAATTTGGTAAAAGGATCTGAGAAGAATGTGAGAAGAATTTACTGGACGCCCGGGTTTTGATTCCTGCTAGAGGAAGGCACTTTAAACTCCGAAACAGCTGTGAGAAAAAGTGGGAACAGAGAAATGGGAACAAGGAGCTTAAAAAAATTCTGGGCAGCTGTGCCTGAATTTCAGTTTGTTTTTTGCGTGTGCCCCGAGAAGAAGAAGAAGAAGAAGAAGACGGGACGTGGCCAGCGTCTTCAGCCTTGGTTTGCGAGTTATGCAACCGTTCGTGCAGAAGCTGGCTTTGCGGTCTGTTCCCAGACAAGAGACTGCTGTGCCGACGTGACCTACGACATTTGCGCGCGTGACTTGAATCGTGCCACCACACATCCGTCTGTCCCTCTGTATCGAAAGGATTCCACTCTTCAATAACCATTCGACTTCAGCTGGTCAACAAAATCTCCAAACCTTCATTCACAAGAGATCGCCACTGGTCCCTGACCTAAATCCAGTCCTCACCGTAATATCCATTTTAATATTATCCTCACTTCTACGAATACGCTTCAGAAGTCATCTATTTTTTTAACCTAAAGTTTGTATGCATTTCTTGCCGC